AGAGGAGAAACCATTCTTTTTGAGGCTGCAGTTCCAGGACCAACTTATTTTCCCTTCCCAACTGTAACTGATCTCTCGGGCCCTGCGCGCCCTTGCCCTTTGCAGTCTCATTCTTGCCCCGAAGGAGAAATGGGCTCAGAGCTCTTGCCCGGCGTGGGCCTTTTGCCAAATTTAGACATCTGTTGTTACAAGGGCCGTAGCTCTGGGGAAGATGCCCAGTCCAAAGGGATGGCTTTCCTAATCGGCTAGAGAGGAATCTTCCCCAGGGTCCTATTTTTGCAAAACAAAGAGCCCAACCCATTGGCCGGCCTGCGCACTGCTGACCCTCCCCTTCCTTCCTTTCCAGGCGCCTTCCGTGTATGCATCTCTTCCACCAGGTGTGTGTCGACCAGTGGCTAATTACCAACAAGAAGTGCCCCATTTGCAGAGTGGACATTGAGGCTCAGCTGCCCAGCGAAAGTTGACAGGCTTTGGCCTCCAACCTCTTGCTTTCCTCCTTCCGGGTACTGCAGTCAACCAAAGATGGCCTGACTCCGCTGTGCAGTTGTGGGAAGCATTTGAACCTGCTAGAGTGCCGTTTGTCTGCTCTGTGGTATACCTGATGCTAACCCTACAGTTAGTGTATTTATAAAGCTTATTTTTGGTTTGTTTGTTTAGCCCTTTCAGATCCCTAACCGGTTTTCCCTGCCCTTTTGCATGGATCGCTCCCCATATTGCATTTCTTTGCACATATTATGGGCTTAGTGACCCCCCCTCTCCCCCCAAACTTGCAGGCAAGATTATCTGCTTTAGGAAGTAGAGCTGTGTGGTCCCCCCCTCCCTTTTTTATTTGTATCGAGAGTCAACTTTCCAGAGTATGATTTCACTCATTACTAACCTCAGAGTCCTTAATTTAATCAAGTCTTTTAGTTTTAAATGTATAAAGATCAAAGGATATTTTTTTTAAGACATTCCTTAATTAGGAAAAAAAAAAAAAAGCTGCTGTATTCTTGTGTGGGAGAGAGGCGCCAGGGCCTTGTCCTGGGCGAGCTTTGTCGAAAGGAGCATGGCCGGGGCCGCCTGCCCCCTCCCCCCCACCGTCTGCACCATCGGTCTCCATCCTGTAACGCCAGACTAATGGGGCCTCCTCTTGGATCACATTTTTATGTTCTTAAACCTTCAGCACAATGCAGATATCTTTGAATGTCAATATTAAAAACATTTAGACTGCTGTCTGATTGTATGTACCATTTTCTTAATGTCTAGCCATTTGAATCGCTAATATAAAAAGTTTACTGCTGTGAACAGCTCTACTGAACACTAAATATTGGATTTCAACTAGCTGCACTGTAGATAGAGGCAGGCTGAATAAAACAAGTACGAGGAGGACAAGGAGAAGAGCAGGGATGTTGTCTGTCTTATTTCTTGTTCTTCAGTCCTACATTAAGTTCATCTACTGATCTGCACAGACAGGAAAACTCCGCTACGGGGATGAAACCAGGAGTTAGAATATCATTTCTTAAGGCAAATATCCATGAATTCATAGATTTTATGAAGATCCCTGTTCTCTGGGCGATCTGGGTGGGTTTTTTTTTTTAGTTTTACAATTAATAAAGTTAGCTGAATCCATCTGACTCTTGTGTCATTTCTCAAGATTGATTGCCGTTGTGTTGTTACACGGGGAATTCTGCTATTAACGCCTATTTGGGGGGGGGGGAATTTCCGTGAGGCTTTTGCAGAAACCTCGCCGCCTGCAGGCGAAGCGGGTGGGAGGGGGGGATGTCGCAGGGGGCGACCCTCCGAAGAGCCCCCTCCGTTCAGCCCAGCGCGCAGGAGTTGCCCTTGCCCCCTGCTGGAAACGGCCGAAACGCAGCGGCCTCCCTCCCGAGCAGCCAGGCTGCAACCGGGCCACAAAGCAAGGAAGGCTATCCTACCAGGGACCCCTCCCTCGCGGAGAAAGACTACAGCTCCCAGAGGCCCTGCGCGAGGGCGGCGGTCGTGGCGGCAGCCAATCGGGCGCGCCTCATGCAGGCGGAGGACCAATTGCGTCGCGAGGCCTTCCCTTGGAGGTCCGCGCCGGCGCATGGCGGGTGAGCGCGGCTGGGCAGGGCCCGCCGGGCAGTGGGGGTGGGGCCTCCTGTGGCCCCTCCCGGTGAAGGAAGCCGGGCTCGTGCACCGTGGGCGGGCAGGGGACTTCCGGTGGGCGGGGAGGCTCCTAGTGAGAAGGCGGGTCTGGTGGCCGCTCGGAGCCCCCCCCCCCCGGGAATGGGGAGGGAGGGCCGGGCGGGGGTCTCCTCCCCTTTGAGGCGCCTGCCTGGCTCCGCCTCTCTCCCTTTTGTAAACCCCGCCCCGTTCCCTGACGCAGGGGGCGGGGCTATGTAAAGGCCCCTCCCCCTCCCGGGGCGGCAGGGAGCGAGGCCGGGGTCCCGGTGGGGGAGGGGCAGCGGCGCCAGTCTGAGGCCCCCCTTG